AGTCTTGTCCCCTCCCCTCCCAGCCTCTATTCCCGTCTCTCTCCCTCCCAGCCTCTGCTCGCGCTCGCCCGTCGCTCGCCCACGCCGCCGCCATCGCCCAACGCCCCGACATCGCCTCCTTCCCCACCGGTCGTCGCCGCCCCCGCCGATGTTACCTCCTTCCCCCACCGCCGCCTGACGTCCGCGCCGCCCCCACTCGTCCCTGCTTTGGCGGATCTGCCCGCCGCAACCGCCTGACGCCGCCTCTTCCCCCACCGGCCGCCGCCGCCTCACCTTAGCTCCTCCCCCATCGTCTCCCGACCTCCGCGCCGCCCCGACACGTCCCTGCCTTGGCAGATCTGGCCACCTTTCGCCGGCAACAGTTGGGCAGCCGCCTAGGTACCCGCCTACCCCCCTAGGCGAGGCGGTACCCCGTCGCCCAGCGCGTAAGCGCGCCCAGGCGACCGCCTAGCTTCGCCTTTTTGAACATTGGCAATATATGCAGAAGTATATCTCACAGTAACTTGAGTAGAGATGGAGTTGTATATAACAACATACAGCACGGATTCCTCACGCAGAAACAAGCACAATGATATTAAAATAATCATATGATTCTCCTTTTTTTATCAATTAATAGAGAGTGACATGCGACATGCCTTACTTCAAACTCCAAAAGTAGGGCTTGCAGGATTTGTTTATATAGATTAATAAGGAGTTAAGGGTGTAGGACATGTCTTCACTTCACTGGTTAGTTGGCTCAAAATGAAGATATATGGCCATGATGTAGAAGGTGATGTAGTGTCAGTGCAATAATATGCTAGAACAATTTAGTTTGAACATGGAACAGGTAAAAAAACTACAAAAGAACATCAGAATACCATAAAGTGCAAGCAGCAAACCAAAAGCAAAAAACAGGCTTACTAGTTACTACCATATTAGTGCATAAATAACAGCAAGAGACATCTCTTGCTTGTTGAGATATATATTTCTGTTATCCTGTCTAGTTTACCATATTAAGTGAGCAGAACAATTACGTGCCACATCCTTCACTAGGAGCTAAAGTTTAGCCATGTCGTTCTTACTTGTAAACTAGTTTGCAATTATACTCTAGTGACAGCTAATAGATGCAATGTGTAGTCTTAGGAATTCATGTTATCATTTTCCATTTCACAAAGGGAACAGCCTGAAAAGACAATGAAATTTAAGAATTCATGTTATCATTTTCCATTTCACAAAGGGGACAGCCTCAAAGACAATGAAATTCATCTTTATAGAGAAATGGAAACCAAGCATTGGCAGTAAAGACAACAAAAACAAAGCCATTTAGTCCCCAGAAAGTTGGGGCAGGCCAGAGTTGAAACCCAACAAGAGCCACCAATAAAGAAGTAAAAAGAAAAAGGGCATTAATGACGATAGTAACAGTAACAGTACTAATCCCACGACACACGAATTACCCGCAACGAGTTCACTCTTCGGAAAGCCCCTACTACAGGAATAAGATCCATTCGAGAAACTTCACTCCGGTAGTCACCTGAACCACTCTCGGATAGCCCACAGCCTCTCTTCTGGATGCGAAAGAAGATTCGATCATCACAAGAGGAGATGGTAGCCTATGTCATCTTTCCAGCGGTGCAGTGCTGGTTTCTACGCACTTATGTCCAAAGACAGAAACACATATATTCAAGTGCAGCACAAAGCTGACTCGAAATCCAAGACTTGTACCGTGGTTGATTTGCATTTACAATAGGAGAACTATCTTATTCAAATAAACTGCACGAGAAAGACTCTAGAATCAAGAGAACTGTCAGGAAGTAGAGTAATATAAATCATACTGTAATACTGATACACTACACAAGCGGATTTGCAATTCCTATATTTGTGCACCTCCAAACTAACAACACAATAAGCACTGTGCGGAACAGAACAATACAGCTATACTTAGATCTCCTAGCCAGTTGTACTCACAGACATTGCAATTTACAAGTTAGGGCTTTACTTAATCAAGAGAATATGAAACAGACAGCAAACACCAGGCTACCAAATTTGCTAGCGTGCAGTAAAGTAAACACGGAAGAAAGGATACTTTGAATGCTAGTGGCTGAGTTGTTGAGCCTGTTGAGCTTATCAATCAGCCTCTGCTCGCTGAAGGAGCCGCCGCTGCCGCCACCGCCGGCCCCGCCGCCGTCTCCCGTTTCCGCATCTACATCCGCCTTCGCGCCCGCCATCACGAAGCCTCTAACTAATCCGGCTCCCTCGCGGATACGCCACCAAATCACTAGAGAAATCTGCACTCCTGCGAAAGCAAGATCGAGCTAATTTTACGCATAAAAATTCGGAAAAAAATATCCAGAAAAAAACAGAAATCTCGGGATTGTGGTGGGAGATTGGAACTCGGAGTTCTAGGGGGAGAGATGCATACCTGGGTAGCGAGTTCCCGAGCTTGAGCTTGCCGCCGCGGACGAGGCGAAGAGGGGGGTGGAAGGAGAAGGACCGAAGGAGGGGGGAGACGAAGAGCCCAATCCAATCCTTATCCGACTCGCGTGCGCCGGCACTGCTAGCTACGCACGGCGCGGCGTCTTCCGCGGCGAGGATAGGGAAGGGCGGCGAGCGCACGGGGCGGATGGGAGAAGGGCGCAGCGGCGCGGCGGCGTGCTGGTGGTTTTGGTGGGGTGGCTGTTTTTTCTCTCTCTCTGCTGGTTTTTGCCCCCCTTTTCTTTTCCAGCGTATTTTGCGCGTGATGAGACTGAGAAAAAGGGTAAGAATAATATATATATATATATATATATATATAATTATTTTGGCAGGCCTTCTTTATTTTGTGGATCATCTGTCGCCAGAGGATTAACTGTACTAGACTTTATATACTCTATATCTGTTCTAGAAGGAGTATCATTCTTATTTTCGAGAAAGTCGAAATATCTTAATATTTAAGATACAGAGCAGATATCATTAACTAATAGTTGAATATAGTTTTGCACCTGCGGTTTGACATCGTTAGAGCTAAATCTGACGGAAGCTGCGTGAAGGAGAAAAAAAAGTTCAGAGCAGTGGCACGTGTGAACTTTTTTAATGATTTATGGGTAATTACCAACTTTTATAATGGCACACAGGTAAAAGTCTCATTTATATTTAGTTGCTTGATTGAAGAGACCTATATGCAGTCTGATGCATTATTCATTCTTCTACTTGCATCCACTAAAACACTAGGTTTGAATGTTCATGCTTTGTGTGCAATTTACCTATGCAACGGCAAGGGGGCGCCATTTCCCCTCCTCCTATCTATCTTTTATTTTTCTTTTCTTTGCTTGTTCTTATATCATTTCCCCCTCCCGTCCATGGTGCATCTAACTGTCAAGGATGATGTCTTTACTTAGATCTATAATGAGAATATAATATGGAGGCATCTAGGAGTGATAAAAAGCTTGTTTACAATTTTAGGTAGGGTAAACTTGGCACTGCTCCACATCCGCGATGGCACTTAGATCTTGTTTAGATCAGCCTATAAAGTTTTGGGTGTCACATCGGATATTACATGGAGGTGTCGCATGGTGTGTTCGGGATACTAATAAAAAAATAAATTACAGAATCCGTTAGTAAACCACGAAATGAATTTACTAAGCCTGATTAATCCGTCATTAGCACATGTGTGTACTGTAGCACTTTATTATCAAATTATGGACTAATTAGGCTTAAAAGATTCGTCTCGTAAATTAGTCGCAAATTGTGCAATTAGTTATTTTTTAGTCTATATTTAATACTCCATACATGTGTTCAAACATTCGATGTGACATGATATAAAATTTAGGGGTGGGAGCTAAACAAGGGCTTAGCAACAATAGTCAGCAATTGTGACACCGCCAACTCCTTACTCCTCTTGAAATACTTCTTTTCTAACTAATCTATTTCAATGTCACAGTACATGGTGGTCGCATGTGGCAGCTGCACCAGCCTAGGAGGCTCCACGGCGATCGATGGCTGACATGGATGTCAACAAGTTTGGCGATGTCGGGCCTTCAAACCAAAGCATCGTCCCTGATGTTTCGCAGGCTTTAGCCTCAACTCCCTTGATAGTGCCAAATGGCATGGCAAGGGGCACGCTGTGATAACTAGCATTTACATTCTATAATTGCGTATGTACTCCCTCAGTCATAAAATAAATCAACTCATAGAGTTTATTTATGTCAAACTATTTTAAACTTGACTAGCTTTATAGAGAAAAGTACATGACTCCAATTCAGTAGACTAATTTTTTTAATGACACTATTTCGGTGTCATAACCAACTTGCTTGGGACTGAAAGGCTATGTTGTTGTTGTTGTTGTTGTTGTTGTAGTATTTTGGTGTCATAAATATTGATATTATTTTCTATAAATCTAGCTAAATTTAAGATAGTTTGACTTTAGATAACTCTTGTATTGGATTCAGGATGAAATGAGTACTTGGTTTGGCTGGATCATTAATTTACTATGACGAGAGTCAACTCTGAATAACCCCCTTTATGTGACAAATTCAAAATGTTAAAAATGATCTCCTTCATGGGACGAAGGGAATTACCCGGCTAAGTTTAAGATCCAATGATCCATAGACCAAATTTTGCAGCCAACTGGACCTCATCTTTCCTATGAGAATCACACCCATGGACATCAAACGTCTATGGAATGAAGGGAATTTTGCAGCCAACTGTGGAACCTCATCCTTCAATGTACATACGATCGAATATTACGTGTGAGAATCACGCCCATAGAGACATCAAACGTCTGTTATTCTTTTAACTTTGCAGCCAACTGGACCTCATGAGGATAATTGTACAACACATCCTAACATGTTTTGATATGGCCCGTTGGCAAAATCTGGAATAGCGTCGCTATTTAAACGCTAAAGCTATACAATTTAGCGGAGCTATAGCGCTAAATAGCAGTTAAAATTGGCATAGCGACACAAGTGCAATAGCTTGGCGTGGAGTCTCTATGGCCGCTATAGCGCCGCTATTTTAAACCATGATTTGTCCACATGCTAGGCCAGCTACGTATATTCGTATGCACACTGAAGCGCTGCCAGATGTTGCTCCGTGGCACGCAGTGTTGGAAGCTTCACTCTCTGAGGGTGATGAGCATGAGCTCCTTGTGAATCGCCATCGCCGCCCTTAGGTGCAGAGAACAGTATGCTGGAACAAGCTCCGTCGTCCTCAGCTTCCAGTTCCAGCCGGTAGAGTTGCTGGCCGGCGGCGAAGTTGCCGAGCAGCTGGTACGAGCTCGCCGAGCCGTCCATGGTTAAGCACATCTCATCGGTGCCTGAATGAAATTAACAGCTTTACTTATTCATGCAAATCGGATTCAGCTTTAGCAGTTAGCACACGTCGACGATGATGAAGTGACGATTGTGTGACGTACATGCGGCGAGCTCCTTCTGGGTGCGGTAGAGGAACTGCAGCACGGCGGCGACCTCGTCCCGGAACCGGGAGAAAGGGCCACCGCCGCCGCCGTCGCCGTCGCCGCCTAGCTGCAGCTTGCGGAGCTTGCAGAGGCCCTCGCCGAGCTCCATCATCGCGCCGCGGTGGTTCTGCACAGGCCGAGATCGTCGTCATATCGGGATCGAGCAATTGGATCGTCGTCGCACACTTGCACTGAGGTCAAATTCAGAAGAATTCACCGAGTATCTATTGGCATGCCATTCAAGAAGGAACCTGGTTGAAGAGGTGGTGGAAGCCGACGGCGCACTGGAGGACGCCGTGGAGGAGCGTCCGCGCGGGGTCCTCGGCGCCGTACCACAGCTCCTCCACCACGTCGTGGCACGCGTGGTACTCCCCGCGGTTGAACAGCGCCACCGCCGCGTCGAACGACCCGCCACCAGCAGCCGCCTGCTCCTCATCGTCGTCTTCGTCCTCGTCGGGGGCCGGGCGCTCGCCTCGCGCCGTGAGGAGCCGGCGGCGGCAGCGGAGGTCGGAGCTCGCACGGCCGTGGAGGTTTATTAGCTGCCGTGGCGGCGGTAGTCGCTGGTGGCGGAGGAAGAACGCCGCGGTCGCGGTGCCAGTGGTACACGCGCGGCGGGCCGGCGGCGGGCCGGCGCGCACGCATGCGGAGGCGGAGGACGGCACCGCCATGGAGGTGGAGGCGGGCGTGCCACGTATGACTTGCCTTGGGATGTGGTGCCCGTGCCGTGCCGTGCCGTGCCGTGTCCGTGTGTGGCTGGCCACCGCCACGGCGCCACGCCACCCATCAACCATCATTGGCTCCCCACTGCACGTGTGGACTGCATGCAGCGCACCGCGAACGAAAATATCCTATCTGATGGGTAACTTCCGGCCCATGAAAAAGACGCAGCTGTCGTGAGTGCTGGGCCAGCGAGACCTAGCCTAGCCCATTCATATGGCCCGTTAAGAACCCTCGGCCATGTGACCCAGCCCATGCGAGCACACGGCCCAGCCCATCCCTCCTCTTCTCTTCTCCGAAGAAAAATCCTTTCCTCCGGCTCCCGCTCTTCTTCTTTCGCTCTTCCCGCGAAAATCCAATTCCACCACCCAAAAATCCCACAAAAATCGATTCCGCTCCCGCACCCACCTCCTGTCATCACCCCTCCCTCACTCCGACCTCTCGTCTCCCATCCCGCGGCGGAGTAGGTTAGGTCCTCGATTCGCGTTCCCGTTGCCGGACCCCGACGCCGGTTGCCGAGCGAGCGAGAGGGACCATGGCGCCGCTGTCGTGGCGGCACCACACCCTGCTGCAGGCGCTGCTCACCCGGGGCCCGCTCTCCGATCGCGACTTCCGCGCCGTCTTCGCCGCCATCTCCGGCAAGAACCCCGGTACGACATCCGCCTGCTCGTCCACGGGCCACGGCCATCTGTCTTATTATTATCTCCACTCGCGGCGGCCCAGCTGCTCGACGAAATGCTCCTCTAGCAGATTAACCGGACTGTTGTACCGCTACTGCTTTTCCTTTGGAACGTGGTCGTATGCATCTTTAGGTGTCTAATTGGTCGGTTTTGATGGAACCTGAATACGAGCGTGGTTGGCTGTATGCTGTATCATATTTTTGTGGCGCCATGCTGCCTGCTGTTCACGACTCCGATCCTGCTGTTATTGTTCTTGATTACTGCCTTTTTTTAGTACTGATGTGCATGTATACTCTAGAATCTGGCATTACAGTGGATACTGATCTTTGCTTCCAGGCTCTGCTGTTTCTGATGATCAAACAATAAGCATATCATCATAAATTCGAAATCACTGCATACTTGCATCGTCTGGCTGTCTTTAACAATTACCTTACCTGACTGTGAACCCTGAACCCAACTTTATTTTGGCCTAGATAGAAGAAGAGTTCCAGTTATCTGTATATTTGGCTGAGGTCTGGTTGATTGGCCAAACCATGTACATGTATGTATCTAGGACAAGTTATGGAAGACTGGTTAAGTGAGGATTTGGCCGAGGGGGATCAAACTTATCTCTACTTGCCACGAGGGGGATCAAACTTATCTCTACTTGCCACAAAAATTACTCGGAGAAATGCTCCTCTAGCAACCCAACCTGCTCTATCGCTAGTGCTTTTTCTCCAGGTATATGCATCTTTAGCTGTCTAATTGGTGGGTTCTGGTGAAATCTAAATAAAAGCATGGTTGGTTGCATCCTAGTTTCGTTATGCGATGCTGTGTGGTCTTTACAAGTCTGATCCTGCTGTTATTATTCCTAGTTGCTATAAAAACTCACCATTTGAGTACTTCCATGCATGTAGCCTCTAGTATTAAAAGTGGACACTGCTCTTGGCTTCCAGACTTTACTGTTTCATGGATGGTCAAACAATAAGCCTGTCACAATCACTTCATACTCACAACATCTGTCATCTGATTATCAAATGATAACTTCAGATGACATGGACCGAAAGTTATTTTGCCCTGAAAAGATAATTCTCATTCAGAGTTATTTTGCATTTTGGATGAGTTCTGGTACTCTGGTTGATTGGCTGAACCGTATATATGTAGGACAGGTTATGCAAGTGTGCTTTACTGAGTTTTAGGGGATTAAACCTAACTGAATTAAGTTTTGCCCAAGCTTCTTTTCTGCAGTCACTTATATCGTGTCCCATGGCTTGCAGCTACTCATCAGCAGCTGTTCAACGATACACTTCTCAAGCTCAACAAGGAGTTAGCATACCTGCAGTTTGAATTGCGAGCATGCATGAACCAGTATGATGGAATGGTGTACTATGGAGTAGTGAATAACATTGCCGATGAAGAATCGAAGCTCGGAACAAAGTATTCTGTGCCACAAGTTGCATACTACAAGGGGCTGGTATGTGATAGCTTGCTTTGTATAGTTCAATCTGACGCTATGTACGCTGTGTCAACTTTCTTATATGCTCATGTAAAACTGTACCATCAATGGTTCTTGTGGCAGTTAGAAGCAGTTGTTCAGGAAGCTGGAAATGATGGGACCATAACCAGTATTGATGCTCTCAATGTGTGTCTTGACAACCAGGTTTGTTTTACAACCATTCTGGGCACATGATTCATAGGTTTTCATGTATTGATTCACCACACATGGTCTTATATGTGCCTGTGCTAAGTGGTCATGTGCTTGGAGTACCTTGAAATAATTATGCTTCACAAGCAATTAGCTAAGGCTACAATAGTTTCACATAATTGCAGCATGTCATGCACTTGTTGGTGCTCTTTGTGGCATGGTATGGGAGCACTATGCCTACTGACTGCCAATCTTTATTGTGAATTGTAATGTGGTATCATGAGTTGTTGACTCTGCTCTGTTCCCAGGTCATAATTTTAGATGGGGGTTCACAGAACAGCCAATCTCGCCTTCCATCTTGCATTACGGACTTCAAACTGAGCCAGAAAGAGAGAACTATTGATGAACTGGTAAGGGATCGTTGGCTATCATACACCTCCACAGGCAAGATTGGTCTGGGCGTCAGATCATTTCTTGATCTTCGAAGCTGGTTCCGTGGGAATGATATCCCATTGTGCGTTGTCTGCAATGAAGCTTGTATCAAGGTACGAATATGCAATGGTTATGTGGTTTTCACTAGCCTTGTTCCTGCTTCTAATTCACTGTATAGTCTTTTCATGTTGCTGTGATTATTTTCTGTGTTCATAACAGGCTTCAAGTTGCCCTAATGAGGGATGCAGCATAAGAATTCATGAGTACTGTTTGAAGAAGAAATTCTCACAGCGGAAGGTAGATGCCCAGTTATTAGTCCACTTGGTTACTCATGTTTCATTTTGAAGCCAAGGTTTGCTGTGTTGTTTGCATATGTAGGCTTCAAGAGCCTGTCCTGGCTGTGGCACTGAATGGCCCCGTCAGGAGGGCGAAGTCGATGGCGACGATGATGCAAACGAGCCTGGTGAAGATGGAGCCGCATCAGCCAACCGTTCTTCGAGGAAGAGACGCAAGGGAGTGAAAGCTGAACTGGTGCAAGATTGTCCTTCGAGGAAGAGACGCAAGGGAGTGAAAGCTGAACTGCTGGAAGATTGTTCTTCGAGGAAGAGACGCAAGGGAGTGAAAGCTGAACTGGTGGAAGATAATCACAATGCAGGGCCATTAACGGCGGCGGTTCCTAGGAGGGCGAGGAGCTTGAGAAGAGCGAAAGCCGAAGCAGTCGAAGCTGCTCAAGAGGCGTCTTCTGCAGGAGCTTCCAAGGCGGCCAGAGCTTCCAAAGGAAGGAAGAAGTGAATGGTGCGGGCTCATGGATGATAGGTAGCGAGATTGCAGGCTCTCTTTTGTCGTGTACATACGGTGTATGGTGGCACCTGGTGGTAGATGGTCCTTTTGGGTGTGGTGAGGGAAGGCTACTGCGACTTCTAGTTGTGGCGTAATATGTATAGCCTCTACAAACTCGTAGAGTTTGTTTTCTGTCCTGTGACAGTATCAGATCAACCTACACTGGTAGTAGATGGTCCTTGTGCTGGTACTCGTTTGGAATTAGTGAACGTATTAGAGCACTGAAAAGCTTGAACAAGGGATTATCTTGTCGCTTGTTAGTTCCAGATTCAGGCATGCTGTTTTGATCTTTGTTGCTTGCTTTGTTCGTCAGAGACAAGGTCAGAAACTGTGTGACAACACCTGCCATCTTTTTTCGTCGGTGCAGTTGTAGAAAGTCAATTAATAGAAAACGCGAGCAAAGCTAAATCAGCATGACACGACTCGGCGACAAGTTGCTGGAAAACGAAAGTTAAGACGAGCACTACACCTACGAAGCTGACTGACATCAGGAGACAGTACTAGTAAACATTTCAACATCTACCTACGTCGTCAATGGTGACTTTTTAACTGAAATTTTTCTCCGCTATCAGATTCGCATAAGCTCTAGTAACACTGCCACTGACTATTTACTTTACTTTTGTAGTATATAATAGCTCACAGTATTCACATTGTTATATTCTCATATGGAAACTATTTTTTTTATTGAAGATGATACTCTCTTCGTTCCAAACTATAAGACATTTTGGCTTTTTTCAATATATAATTTTTGCTATGTACTTAGATAGTACACTTATGTCTAGATACTAGTTATCTAGAAAAAGGCAAAATATCTTATAATTTAGAGCGGAAGGAGTGTATTCTTTCTAGATGTTGCTAGTCAGAATAAAAACGTTTGGTTTATGTTATTAGATGGACTTATGCTTTTTATGAGGAAGTCTATGTGAAGCTAGCCAATCCTAGGTACTCTTGTTTGGCAGTTGAGAACATGTTTAAGGCCAGTGACGAATCCAGAAAAAAATTTAGAAGGGGCTGAACAAAAGAATAAATGCTTTTTTAACTTCTCTTAATCTTAGCTCCTCCTACCTAATACATGTATACATAAAATTTTAAGTAAGGGTTTAGGGGAACTCCACGTGCTCAGAGTGGGTAGGGGGGGCTGAAGCCCCCCTAGCCCCACCGCTGGATCCGTCCATGTTTAAGGCCCTGTTCGCTTCTCTTATAATCCGTCTTTTGTAGTTTGTTTTTTCAGTCGGAACAGTGTTTTTCTCTCACAACAAATCAGCCGGAACAGTGCTTCGGTTTGTTTTTTCAGCGAAGCGATCAGGGCCTAAGTAAAGATAAAAGGAGCTCGAGCAAGGAATCAGAGCATGTTGCTTGCTGACGTCGTATTCAAGTATCATATCATAAATCATCACTGGCTTTCAGAACATGTTGCTTGTTACGTGTTGATCTTTTTTCACTCGTTTGCTTTTGCTTCGTTGTTACTCTTCCTAGCTTTCAGAAATTACTGGCTTCTCAACTCCCTGATCAAGGCCAGACATGTCTAGCTCAACAATGGCTCAGTCAGATTTTTTTCTCGAATACTCAAAAAAGTTGTGTATCATTATATTAAAAAAAAGACAAGCATTTACAAAACATCACATACACCAAAAAATGAACTTATGAATCACCTTTTGCGCCAAGAAAAGATAAGGATACGATAGCAACCTAAAAATGACACTCTACTTTGACGTTTGAGCGAAAAGGTAAGAAGTACTTGTAGCCTCAGATGAACCCCACAACTGAATTTCCTCGCTAGTGAGCAATAAGGCTATAGCCAAAAAAGAGGTAAGTCATAAGGAAACACATCTACTTTGCAGCCGCTTTTGCTAGATGCTTGTCTGTTTTATCTTGGTCGATACTTAACCACCACGGCTTTGTTTATTTTGCAGGTAACCATTGTGTTGATGTATCATATTTTTACAAGCTCAGTTGGTAAGTTTTGGGTGTTTAGGGTAGTCACTCTTTCTTTTCTTCCTTTTTCTTGTTCTTATGTTTATTCTAGGTCACTCACCACTATCTTGGTGGTTTGTAATATGTGATATAAGGATTCTCTTGTAGCTGTGTTGTGTAAGTCTCTTTCTCTTAATAAAAAACGGGCTATATTCTCCTATCACGAAAAAATAAAAAACACATCTATTCGGGTGATTTGAAATGGTTCAAGCCCCGGTCAGAATAAAGACATTATTTGGAGAACTTAAACAAATCGCGCCGAGCAGTTACGCCTGATGCCAATAAATTAAATAGGCCACATATAGGGGGTGTTTGGAACTGCTCCGCAAACTCTGCTCCATAAACTTCACCGTGGAGCAGCTCTACAAAAACTTGGAGTTTGTGGAGCACCCCTTTAGGTGCTCTCACAACTCCACATTTTTCCTCGAGCAAAGTGCGTGGAGCTGAAACTGTTTGGCTAAAAAACGTAGAACGATACTGAAAAACATGAAGCGGAGCAGTCCCAAACACCTCCATAACATCCTCGGCCCTTACCATCTTCCCAATGGACTAAACAGAACAGATATAACGAATCGATCATTTAACGTCTCAAAATATCCAAACTGCTGGCGCATTGTTACTGTGCTTCAAATCAAATGGACCTCTCTTCCAGATTGGTATGAATAATCACTCCAGGCCTGAATAATGGCGTCTGACTTGGTTATTTATGAAATGAATGGAGAACAGCTGCTTAATTTGTTGATCCCTGGAGTTACTTGCTTGACGTGCTCTGCTTATATATTAATTTGCTGATGCAATGCAACTAAAGCTAGCTAGAGCCAGTTAGCACCGCGACAGGTTCCTTTTTTTTTGAAAAAAAAAATCAGCGATATGCCTGCCCTCAAATCTTGTTTCGATTCTTACTCCTCCGTTCACAATAAAACTGGCTATTTTTCATTTCGTTATTTTAGGATATAAGATTTTTACAGACAATTACTCCTTTTCCTGAGGCAGAGCAGCCAATATAATACCCCATTAATGTCATTTATGTGATATAAAAAATCATAATAATACAATTCTAATAGAGAAAATAAATTGCATCATTCAGGTGTTGCACTATTTTTTTTTCTTTGTCAGACAGGTTTAACAATCCCAGATTTTTTTTAGAACAGATGACGACGCAGTGCTGAGACGGTAGCAAAAGTCCAGTTTGGGCTAAAAAATCAGTAGGTGACGTGAGGGTAATGGTACATGTATGAAAACGCTCCTTTTGTTGAATGGTTCATCGCTCACGTCGCGCCAGCTGATTTTTTAGCCTTAAGTGCTAAGATACAGGCTGACATTTCCTAAATAAATAAAGAAAAAAGGATAAAGTTTAGAGAGTTTGGAGGAAGTAAGATACAAACTAACATTTCCTAATTAGGAGAAAGTTGTAACTAAAAAAGGATAAATTAAGATACAAACTAACATTTCCTAACATTTCCTAATTAGGAAAAAAGGATAAAGTTTAGAGAGTTTGGAGAAAGTTGTATAACTATAGAGAGAGAGAGAGAGAGAGAGAGAGAGAGAGAGAGAGAGAGAGAGAGGAAAAGCTAAAAATCTCACCTTAGAATTTTAGAGCAAACTAGCACCTAGATTTCGGTTCATTTATTATGTTGAGCATAGGAGGCCAGGAAAACTCATGTGCTTTACAGCCTCATAACATTTCTTTTGCTTATAGACCTTAGTTGTTAGAAACATATATTTTGGAATATGGAGAGAGAGAGAGAGAGAGAGCATTTTCTACAACGGGTGGTAGATACCCGCGGGGGTGTGGTAACTACCGAACTGGTTGGATGTTCGACACGTATAGCGAATTGAGAAATCGAACGGCTATCATGTGTACGTCTTGAATAGGAATTGTAGTACATACGCAGCTAGGATGTCAGGCTATTGTTTCTTTTCTGCTGTTGAATCAAGTACGTGAGGACCGGACTAGTGCGCTTTTTTGATGTACGGAGTAAGTACTGCATACGGGTTAAAGCATTCCTGGGCGGGCCAGTTAGGGCGTGATATCCTTGAGCCAGGATAGCCAGCCTAGCCAGGACAAATAAGTTGGGTTGAGCTTGTGTAAGTGGTTGTGTTTGGTCGTCTTTGCTGTTGATCTAGTACGATATATGATTGTGTTTGGTTGCATGCATGCATTAGTTTTTTTTTTGTGTCTGACGCATGGGTCCCTGCATCCTGGGCGAATCAAATCATCCTGCACCATGAGGGAAGGAGAAATTCAGAAGACGGAGGCGTGCGGGATGGAGGAGGGCAAACAAATGAAAAGATGCATGTAAAAGGTGCGAGCAGAGTAACCAAACACAGTGCAAGTGCACGAAGGGATGCAGGATGCCCCTTCGAACGTCCTGGTTCGGACAACCAATCACCCCCTTAGGTAGCGTTTGGTTGGGAAACAAGGTGGTGTGGGATGGTCCTGTCTCTGGTTTGTGGGATGGGACGAGTTTATTTTCTGTTTGGTTGAGAAAGAATGGGACCAACCCGTTTTCTGTTTGGTTCAGAAACATCAAAAGTAGGATGAGCCACTGACATATAGGGCCCACATCCATCAGATTTTTTTCCCTTTTCTTTTTTTTTTCTTTTTTCTTCTTCCTTATCCTTTCTTCTTCGTTCTTCCGTCTCGGACCGCGAGTCGCGACCCCGCGCTTGCTGCCCGGGCCTCCACCGACGATCTCCATGTGCCTCCTCCGCCCTCCACCCACGATCCCGCACCTCCTCCGCCCTTCACCCGGGACCCCAGACTGGTGGCCAGGGCCTCCGTTCACCGGAGTCGGCCCCTTCGACCTTGCTCGCCTGTGTGCCAGCCCAGAGCCACGAGTCGCCCGGAGTTGCCCCGGTGCGCTGGCAGGCATAGCTGGCATGGGGTGGTGGTGGAACCCCCACGGCCATCCTCTCTCCTCTCCCTCTCTCCCTGCGTCATGCGACTACCGAGAGGCGGCGTGCTCGTCTGCTGA